TTGAATAATATATATGTATAGATACAATATGCACAAGCCATGTGTAAATATATTTAAATAGGCATGCATAGTTTAGTTCAATTGAATCTGTTAGTTATAACAACAGTAGTTTTTTTTTTTCTTTTAAAAACATAACTATTTATAATGCTCCCTAAATAATAACAAAATAAATTACAGTGAAAGCAATGAAGATTTTGTAGGTTTTGAACCAAACTAAATAACAATAAACCTTTTTTGATTTACGGTATTTCTTATTTCTTATTTTGATGTTTTGAGGTCTTTTGTGTTTAGAACAATATATACTAATTTTGAAAGTATCAAATTGAATTTTTGTTCAATAAAAATCTTTCAAATGCGACTGTAGTCTTTTTCCCCCCAAAACTTTGTCTTCAAAATAAGGGTGCGTCTTATACACAGGTGCGTCGTATATTCCGAAAAATACGGTATGTTTTTGTTCTGCATAAGAGGGTGGAAGGTACTAGCACTATTGTATACTGACTGATCAACTTATTAGGACCTCATGTAATATCTTATTAGACCACTTTTGGCAGCGACAACAGTTTGGACTTAACAGTGTCGGCTGCCATGACAGTTCTTTTAACACCCTTTGTGAAATATGGTCGATAATATTCAAATCTTGAAATGATTAGTCAAGTCTGACGTTTGTCACAAGCCTGTCCAATCGCCTTTTCTCTCAGTCAGCCTCAGCAGTGGGTGGTAAGGCTTTCTCGTAGTACCAAAAGTATTCTCCCCCGATTGCCAATGTTGATAGAATATGATGACTCTTGCCTTTGAATAGCTGGTAAATAAAAAGTATTTAATAACGACCCTCTTGCTAGACTCTGTGTTGAGCAACAAAGATCTCTTAGAAGTACTAATTGTTCTTACGACTGGCCTGTTTCTGTAAATTACGAATGACTGTGCGCTTAGAGACGGGTTTGAGAACCTTTAGCTCTTCGTATATTTTAACGGGAAGTCTGCCTTGATAGGAATTTTATTTTCTTATTGAACTAATCTGTTACATAATTTTCAAATTATTGTAAAAAAGGAGAAGTTACTTACTTGTATATTATTAAGCGAATAGGACGTTTTATTAATGATGTTGGCAATGACTTAATAGTTATATATATATATATATTTAATTCTGTGTGATCTGAATTTAATTGAATGAAATCTTGTCGGTTATGGATCAGGATGAATATCGCTGTCACTTTAATCAGTATATGTAGGTTTAAACCGACACCTTTTGGTCTTTTTGTCCCATTTTTTATGCTGAGAGACGAAGATAATTTCGGAAAATTAAAAAAAGCAAGACATAATTATCGGATTTGAAATAATTTAAACATGTTTTTCTAGATTCCGAAAGCTTTTTCACAGTCTAATTTACTCGTAC